TTTTTTTTTTTGCAGAACTAGGGATTGAACTCAGGCCCTTGTACTTGCCAGGGAAGCGCTTATTCCACTGAGCCATCTCCCCAAACCCATAACCTTTATTTTCTGAGCTTTCTTTTTTTATTTTTGGCAGAACTGGGGATTGAATTTAGGCCCTTGTGCTTACTCTGAGTTTTCTTAAAAAGTCAAGTTTTTTTTTTTTAAGCCAAGTTTTTTTTTTTTTTTTAACTTTTTTATCCTTTTAAGACAGTTCACTATGCAGTTTATGCAGGTCCTCAATTTGCAGCAATACTCCTGCCTCAACGTCCTGAGTGCTGGGATTATAGGTGTATGCCACCATACCTGGTCTTTTGTTGGATTTTTAAGACTCAGATAATTGTTATGTTTTAGTCCTTTAGTTTTTATGTAGTGAAAATAGGATTGGTACATTTGATCTAGAATTTATTCTGATACCAAGTCTTGAGATGGGTACCTAGTTTTATTTTATTCAAAGTAGCTACCCAGTTCCATCACTTGGGAGGTTTTTGTTGTTAGTTTTTGTTTTTGAAATAGCATCTTCCTATATAGACCAAGGTGACTTGGAACTCAAGATCCTCCTGTCTCAGCCTTTTCAGTGCATGATGTGCCACCATATCTGGCTTCTTTAGAAATTCTCAATAGCAGCTCTAGTAGACGTTTGATTTTCATATTTGGGGTGATTTTTAGGGATTTCTGCTCTGTTCCACTAATCTTTATGTTTATGCATAAGTATAGTATAACTTTAAGTGCTGTATCTTATTTATGTTAATAAGGGTTGAAACCAGGGCCTTAACAGTGAGCTATATCACTATTTATTTTTATCTCTTCTTATTTATTTATTTTTTTTGGTGGAACCATGGATTGAACTCAGGCCCTTGTGCTTGCCAGGCAAGCGCTTATTCTACTGAGCCATCTCCCCAGCCCCTTATTTTTTTAATTTTGAGACAAGGCCTTGATATCAGTTGACAAATTGCCTGGGTTGGGCTTGTATTTTTGATCCTTCTGCTTCAGCCTCCTGGAGCCTGGGGTTTACAGGATTGTACCACCATGCCTTGCCTCAGTTTTTGTTAGTAGATCTCTTTTTTTTTTTTTTTTTTTTCTGATTTTTGATTATTTTCTTTTTTGATTATTTTCTGCTTGTATCTCTACTGTGTATTTTTATTTTTATGTTTTACTTTTATTCAAAATCTCTGGGATGTGTGCTATGACTTTTCTTGTAACCTTTTTTGGCTGTGTGTTGTAGCTTCTCAAATGGAATGTTTTCATTGTTATTGTCTTTTGCAGTTTTGTTTTGGCTGCTGTTTTAACCCATGAGTTAAGAGATAGTTTAAAAATTCAGTTACATGCAGGCTGGAGATGTATGTAAGTTAACAGTAGAGTGCTTGCCTACTTATATGATTTGTGAGTGTATTTCTAGTACCACAACAAAGAAGTCAATTATTGGTACCTTTTATGTATGTATGTATGTATGTATGTATGTATGTATGTACATACCTTTGTATTTATTTTTGGTACCAGGAATTGAACTCAGGACTTTGCGTTTGCCAGGCAGGTGATTGTGCCGCTGACCTATATCCCTAGCAATTTTTTTTTTTTAAAGACTGTGCTACTTCCGTCAGATTTTGGAAATTTGTTGTGGTTTTCTTTGTGGTATGTTTAATCAAGTTTTATAAAGTGTTCTATGGGTATTTCAAAAGGTGTATTGTGCTTTCAGGGAACGTTTGACATACTATAAATGATATCTACCTTACTTGTATTTCTGCCTGCTTGTTTCTTACAGTTCCTGTTTTATGAGTAGTGATACTATCTATTTGAGTGATCCATAACTGTTAGCTCTTCATCATAGAAAATACTTGTGTTATTAATAAAATAAAATAGTGCTGGACATGGTGGCTGTATCCCAGTGCTCAGGAGGCTAAGGCAGGAAGATTGCTGAGACTTGGAGGCTGTCCTAAGATACATAGTGAGTTCAAAGCCAGCCTAAACTACACAGCAAGACCTGGTCTCAAAAAAAAAGGGGGAAAAAAAAAATACCTGCTAGCCTTCTTGAAGTCTTATTTCATTTTGTTTTTCCAATACAGGGAATTAAATTCAGGGCATTTCCACTTAGTAGGAATTCTTTTTTCTTGTACTAGAAATTGAACTCAAGACCTTATGCTTGCCAGGCAGGCACTGTATTGCTGAGCTATATCCCTGGCCCTAGAGTAAGAATTCCTAACTGGTTTTTCTTTTTTCTCCTCTAAAGGACACATTCCGGGTCTGGGAGATTTAGCCACTGAGCTATTTCCCCAGCCCTCCATTCTTCTTTGAATTGTTGATGTGTTTTTGTTAAAAATCAGTGGAATAAGCACTTCCCTGGCAAGCACCAGGGCCAGAGTTCAATCCCCGGTTCTGCCAAAGGGAAAAAAAAAAAAAAAAAAAAGACATTCCCATTAATGTTCTGGCAGTATGTCTCAATTTTTGTCACTTTCTGAAGTAGTTCTGGAATTCCTCTTTCATGTCTTTATTTATTGATCAGAAATGGGATAAATGCTGCTGTTGTTTGTCAGTTAACCAAAAAGCAGGCTTACAAAAATGTTACAATATGTCCTTATCCACAACTTTTGGACCTTCCTCAAAGTCAAAATGACTATGATGTTTTGAATCAATTCAGGACATGGAAGCAGCCATGACAGCACAACTAAAAACAGAAGGAGATTTTGTTTTAAAGACTCTCCATTCTTCTTTGAAGATTAAATGAGTTAGTGCTTTTGTTTGGAACGGGAATTGAACTCAGAACCTTGTGCTTGCCAGACAGGCACTGTGCCACTGAGCTATCTCCTCAGCCCTGTCTATTGCTCTTTGTTTTTTGTTTGTTTGTTTATTTAATTGGTACAGGGTCTTGGCAGCTCCTACTCATAGTGATCCTCCTGTCTTAGCCTCAGCAGTGCTGGGATTACAGGTGTGCACCACTGTGCACAGTTCTGGGGCCAGCCCTGGGGATCGAGCCTGGGTCCTTGTGATTGCCAGGCAGGTGCTTAGGCCACTGAGCTATCTCCCCAGCCCTCCATTCCTCTTTGAATTGTTGATGCATTTTTGTTAAAAATCATTTGGCTATGTGGGTATTTTTGGACTTTGTTCTGTTATCCATGTAATATTTATTTATTTAGTCTTTTAGGGTTTTGCAGTTCAGGCTGGCCTTGACCTCACTTGGTAGCCCAGGCTGGTCTTGAATTGGCAATGATTTTCCTTTCTTAGCCTCCTGGGTGCTGGGATTATAGGCATGGACCACCACTCCTGGCATGCACCATTGTCATACTTTTAATTTCTGCAGTTTAATATTAAATATTGAAATTAGATGGTAAACTCTCTAGCTTTGTTCCTTTTCTGAGCTGTTTTGACTTTTGTTTTGTCTTCAAAAGTCAGCTTGTTGGGTCGGCCTGATAACTCAGCAGACCTAAAGCACCTGCTTAGGGAGAGCACAACGGGTTCATCCTGGGAGCGCGCTGAGGTGATTGAGACTGAGTGTGGTGGCGCGTGCCTGTAATCCCAGTGCTTCGGAGGCTGTAAACAGGAGAATCACTACGAGTCTGATCTACATAGTGAGACCCTGTATACCCTACCCTAAAAAAAGAAAAAAAGTCAGCTTGTTAATTTCTGGCAAAGAGCCTGTGTAGATGATGTGGCTTTTTCCCCCATATTGAATGCAGGGCCTCTTGATTTTAACCACTATCACAGAGCTGTACTTCCAGCTTCATTAATTATATTTTAACATTTTATACAAAATGGGTATATGGGGGCCGGGGAGATAGCTCAGTAGAATAAGCACTTGCCTGGCAAGCTCAGGGTCCTGAATTCAATCCCTGTACTGCAAAAACAAAAAACAAACCTTTTTCTACTGTAAAAACTTATAGTAGAAAAATCTCAGTATGATGACTTATGATGTATTGTAATGTAAGCTAATAGACATCATAGCATAAAATCTTTTTTTGTTTTTGGTATTTTAGGGAAGGGTCTACTGGGTGTTCAGGGTCTCACTACTAGATCGGACTTGTAGTGTTCTGTTTACAGCCTTGCTAAAGCTGGGATTACAGGCGTGTGCCACCACGCCCAGTCTCAACTGTTGTCTCAGCACACTGCACTCCAGGGAGAGGCTGGGACCTGCACTGCAGGCCCGGGGATCGAACTCCTAGCCCCTGTGTGTGCTTGCAGGCGCTTTAATCTGCTGAGCTGTTTGGCTGGCCCTCATAGCATGAATTCATGTAGTTAACCTTTTTTTATGTTTTAGGTAGATTAAAGGTGCAAACATTGTATCAAGGGAAATAAACACTTAGTTTGAGGGCTTATTTTATGTATGCCAAGAAAGGACTTCATGCCTTTATATATAGAGGCTGAAAGTACAAAGAATGTTAAACTAAATAGTAATTTTATGGAGTTTTCCTTCACATTTTTGAATTTTATCCAAAATTAAAGTGGCTAAAAAGTTTATATATTCTTCATTCCCCATTTCAAGAAATTTAAAGGTTGAGGCAGGAGGATTGCTGCAGGTAAGGCCAGCCTAGTATACATAGTGAGTTCAAAGCCAGCATGTACTACATAGTGGGATCCTGTCTGGAAAACAAAAAAGGAATTTTCAGTTTTAATAGATAATGGCCAGTTAGAGGTCTATCTGTATTTAGTTATCTGAATAAAATGAGATCTCTTTCTTACTCACTGATACATTTGTTATTTACATCAAGAAATATAGTCAGCATATTTTCCTTTTGGTTGAGAACATGTAAATTGGTTAGCGGCTAGTACAATATTCTTCTAATTCTTTTTTTTCAGAACATGCAGATTGAAGAAATATTTCAGTTTTCTTTAAAAAACTTTCTTCTCATACACTGTGTTTTTTTTGAGAAGTGAGGACTGTGTTAGACCTGCAAGTCTAGACTCTTTTATTTCCTTACTTTGTTTACATTCAGTCAAGGCATCTTGTGCCTAAGATATATTTCTTTGTTTTTCAGGTTCTAAATGGCTTCTAAAAAGTTGGGTGCAGATTTTCATGGTAAGTGGACTGTTAGTATCATGGTTTAAGTTATAATTTGATCAGAGAATTTGAAATCACATAGCATAATTTTAAGTACCTTTTTTGTGTCTTTAAGTGATCAAATTGAGAAAAATGAAGTTGTCTGACATGTAGCATGTACATACATCCCAGGGTCTTCAGATAACTCTAATCTGTTCTCTCTCTCTCTTTTTTTTTTCATAACTCTAATCTTGAAAGTATTTGTTTACATTACTAGTGTAGTTCAGAGCCTCTTATTTTAATTGAAGTTACTACATAGATAAAGGAACTGCTTATTTTTGTTATTTTTTAGCAGTGTTTTAAAATAGCATTTTTGCAGTTTTTGTTTGAGGCAGGGTTTCTATGTAGCCCAGAGTGGCCTTAAACTCAAAACAATCCTCCTGCCTCAGCCTTCCAAGTGCTGGTATCACAGGCATGTGTCATCACCCCCAGCAGCATTCTATTTTTATTTCTGGGTCATAGCTTCTCCATCTGTGTGTAAGAAAATTAACCCTTAGTGATTTATGTTTTGATTTACTCTTCCCCTCGCTACCATAATAGGAAGTAATTTATTGGGAGATAAATATTACAGAGGTATCAGTAATAGACATTTTAGTTTTACATCTGAAGTTAATATTTCCACTGTCGTTGTTTCTTAAGATATAACCTACCAAGTGGAATAAAATAGTAAAAATTCATTATCTGCGTTAGGAGAAATTAAGGTGACAGGTTAAAATTAGACCATCTTTTCATACAGGAAAAGATAAGAATTATTAGACCTGTGCAAACAATACAGGTTATTTTAAAGTTGATCTTTCACTTTAAAAATTGTGCTGTATCACTGTAAGAATGATTTAGTAAGGCCAAGTGTATTCCTAGCACTCAGTAGGCTGAAGCAGGAAGATCACTGTGAGTTTGAGACCAGTCTGGGGTACATAGTGAGTTCAGAGCCAGCCTGAACTGCATAGTGAAACCCTGTGTCAAAAAAAAAAAAAAAAAATGATTTATTAGACTACCTGGCATTGTGTGTTTCTGTGCTTCTCTGAGCTACAATTTAAGGGGAGCATGATAATGTCACCCAGCAGAGTCAAAGTAGTGCAGCAGTCACTGTGGTTTTTAACTTCCTTATGGGACATTTTGAATTGCTGTAATACACATACCCACATATTTAACTCATATATGTTTTGATAATTGTTTTGAAATTAGGTCACTTAAACTCTGGAATTATCATTCTAGCAGGTCAGACATTATATCTTTCATATCTCCTGTTAAGACTCATTATTGGCTCCTTTATTTAGTGTGGTGAAATATTTCAAGTGGTGGTAGAGGGGTAAATCTAATGTTGCTTCCGGATCACTTTTTCAAAGGTAAAAGAGAATAGATTCAAAGACAGCAGAAAGTCCTAGAGAAAGAATGAACAGAAATGAAAATTCTCCATTTATAATCTTACTTCAAAAGATTACCTCTCTTTGGCAACTCAATTTTTATTTTATTTTATTTTTTTCTTCTGGTGCTGGACAGTTGAATCCAGGGCCTTCCCACTGAGCTACATTCCCAGCCCATTTTGTGTTTGGAAAGAGGCAGGGTCTTGGTAAGCCACAAATTTGCCTTGGCTGGTTTCAGACTTGCAGTCTTCCTGCCTCAGCTTCCCAGAGTTTTGAAGTTATAGGCATGCGCCACCACTCCCAGCTGGAAGCTTTTTGGTAGGAGTAAAAATACATTGGATGTCCAGGTTATGTATTCCAGCTAAACAAATCAGAGAGAAAAATTACAGTGATTAAGATGTCTGATCAATAAAGACTTTTTAAAACATGCTTTTTCTAGCTTCTTAAATTCCTAACCAAAATGTCATGGTTTAAATGGAGATTTCTGAGCAGAATTTGGGAGAAAGATTTTTTCTTAGGTTACGTTGCTTTAATAGGGGTTCATCACTTAGCTTGTTTTAATTTCAGTGACAGTAGTTGGTTTTTAAAATAATTATATTTTTAACTATCAAGTAGTATAAGGAATTGAAATTAAAGGAAATAGGTGGGAAAAAATTTTATGGGCAGTCTTGTAGGCCCTTGAGTTCAGGAAATCAAATTTAGAATGGCTTTATGGGGCTGAAAGTAGACAGCTAGCAAACTAAGACTACTGTTTTGCCTTTTGAAGAACATACTTACACCTTTTCCTCCTGGCTTTTTTCTGTGACTGCTTCTTTTTTATCATTCTGTTAAAAGACTGTGTTCCTGGCTTACTTTTAATAGACTACATGGCCAAAAATGACCACCTAGTTATTGTGTATGTCACATGATCTTTCAGTGTTGTTGTTGTTCGCTATAGGGTCTTGCTATGTAGCTTAGGTTGGCCTTGAACTCACTATGTAGTTCTGACTGGCTTCAAATTTGCACTGATCCTCTTGCCTTAGCCTGTGGAGTGCTGGGATTATAGGACTTTTTTTTTTTTTCTTTTCTGTTCCTCGCATGCCTTCAGGGCACGTTTGGCCAGCGGGAGAGTTGTGAGGTTCGAACTCCAGCCACCTGAGGCTGACAGCTTTGTGGAAGCAGCCACTTAAAGGACTGAGCTAGGCCCAGGCCCCCTGAGTGATGGGATTATAGGTGTGCACTACCACACCCAGCATCTTTCGTTTTTTTAAAGTGGCTAGCATATTAAAGAGTTTTTGTAGGTTTTGGTTAAAGAAGTCTGATGGCATAGTCTAGCTAATGAACCTGTGTCAGTTTCTCTAGTCAAGCATTTCCTGGCTGGTCTAATGGCGATTTAGTGGGCGGGAGTATAATTTTTTTTTTAACCATACTTAGGGTGTTAGCAGGGAGGTAATGACTGCCTTTATGACTAGATAATTAAAATGACATTTTTCATACTTAAATATTTGGGTGTAAGTTTTGTATTGTGCTATCTTATGACTAGCATTTAATTTATATTTGAGTTGGTTCTTTCAACTGACGTCCTAATGTTGTTAATAATTACTACTAAATAACAGAAAGGGGAAAGAGCTCAGTGGCATAAGCACCTGCCTGGCCAGTGCAAGGTCTGCAGTTCAATCCCTAGTACCAAAAAAAGTATAATAAGAGATTATAAATAACAGAATAAAGGCTATGAATAGTTACTTTTCTAAGACTTTTAGTAATATTGTCTATGTATTATATAAAGTGTAAAAACTTTTGGTTTAGATTAGGATTTTTCTTGGAGTTCTAGGTCTTTAAAATGGCAATCCTTTTTAAATTTTTAACTTTTTTTTTTTTAAACTTGTGTTGCCTAAGAAAAAGTTACTTTCCAGAAGTAATTTTTGAAAGATTAAAAAAAATTTCAGCAAACAGGTTACCTTTTTTTTTTTTTTTTTTTTTTAGTGGTACTAGGGCTTGAACCCAGGGCTTCATCCCTAACCTTTAAAAATTTTTTTATTTGGAGACAGTGTTTTAATAAGTTGCTAAATTGCCCAGGCTGGTCTTGAACTTGCAATCCTTCAAGATTGCCTCAGGCTTCCCAGAATACTGGGATTACAGGTGAGTGCCACTATGCTTGGCACAAATTGTTTTTGATATCTGGAAAAATGTCTTGATAGTCTAAGTTTGGGAAAAAAATAGATCTCTCTAGTAAAGCTAAAATCCTATTCTCTTTTTAATCGGCTTTGTTTGAGATATAGTTGACATAGAAAATAGCTGTATGTATTATTAATCTTGATAGTTTGGGGTTAAACACCCATGGAACTATCACTGCCATCAAGGCATAATCTTGTCCATTACTTCCCAAATTTTCTTCATGTTTCCTTAATTATTATAGTCATTGTCTGTATCCACCAGAGACAGTTTCTGTGATTCCTGAGGATACCAAACCTTGTGGATGATTATATATAAAGTAACAGTATTTGCATGCAACCTATGCATGTCTTCCTGTATACTTTAAATCATTTATGCATTATAGTACTTCTGATATTTAAGAAGTATAAATATAAAAATAGCTATTATACTGTATTTAGAGCATAATGAAAAAGATAGTGCTTATGTTTAGTACAGGTGCATCTCCCCACCCCAATATTTTTGATCTAGAATGAGATAGAGTTGGTTGAATCTATGCATGAGGAATCTGTAGACAGAGGGCCAACTCTACAGAGTACATCTAAGGTTTTCTCTTTATGTTTTGTTTTTAACATTCCTTGGTTTGATTTTTTGTATATCTAATATTGTTTGGGTTTCCCTAAACTGCTTGAATCTGTGAATTGATGCCTTTTATTATTTTGAAAAAGTTTTGGCCCTTATCTCTTCTTGCATATATTTCTTCTGCTCCATTCTCCCTCTGTTCTTTCAAAACTTCTATCACATGTATAATAGGCCATTTGGTATTCCAGGTATATCTTAACAGTCTCACCTTTTTTTTTGTGTTTGCTTAATTTTTAAAAAAGATTTATTTATTTGGTACAGGGTCTTGCTATGCAGCTTGGACTCATAATGAGCCTTCTGTCTTAACCTACCCAGTGCTGGGATTACAGGCCTGCACCACCACACCCTATTTCAGTGGCTGTCATGGCATGCAGTACCAAGGAACGAACCTAGGTCCTTGTGCTTGCCAGGCAGGCACTTAGACCACAGAGCTATCTCCCTGACCCTAATTAATTTTTTTAACCTAATTTCAAGTTCTTTTTAAGTCTGTCCTCTGTTGCATTGAATCTTGTCTTCTGATTGGCATAACCTGGTTTATGAGCCATTAACATGTTTCTTCTCTGATAATTCATTTTTATTTCTACCATTTCCGTTTGTCTATATTTCCATCTCTGCTGTAATTCCCCATCTGTGTGCACATAAGTGTCTTTTCTATAAGATTTTAAAGTATTTATTTTAGTTATTTAAAGCTCCATGTATAATACTTAAGATATCTTGGCTGTTCCTGGGTTTAATATGTCTGATTCCTCTTTTTTGGGGGGGCTGGTTCCTCTTGATCATGGATCACATTTTCTTGACTCCTTGTTCGTCTTACAATTTTTTAAAATGCCATTGCATATTATTGAAAGGCTGATTTTTATTTTTAAAAAATTGTAAATCTTTATTTATTTATTTGGTCCAGGGTCTTGCTAATAGCTTGACTTGTAGTGATCCTCTTGTCTCAGCCTCCCCAGTGCTGGAATTACAGGCATGCGCTACAGTGGTGCGCCTGGGGTTCTGGGGATCAGACCTGGGTTCTTGTGCTTGCCAGGGAGGCGCTTAGACCGCTGAGCTATCTCCCTTGCCCTAAAAGGCTGATTTTTTTAAAAAAAGGTTACTTTAACTTGTTTTGTTAGGATGTAACATTTTTCTTATGGTTTCACATCTTAGAGCAGATATTTGTTTAATGCCTAAGTTATGGTTTTAAAATAGTGAAAACAAAAGAATTGTATTTTCCACTTAAGTTTGGTCCTAGACTTCTTTTTCAGAAACCTAGATTTGAATCCTCTTATAGTAAAACCTGAAGTAAATGTAATCTAATTACATAACCTAATCCCTTTTATTAGAAATGTTTCCCGCTTAGCCCTCAATCTGGAATTGTACAGTGTGTATTTTCAGAAAAGCAGGCAATACCTAGGATCAGAAGCATATCAACAATTTAGAAAGAAACAAAACAAAACAAAACAAAGTCTTCTCAGTTGAGCTTAGTTTTCTCCATTGTGACCTGATGCAAAATGATGTGCAGAACCTAGCTTTAGGTGATTCTCTCTGCCATAGTCATCAGAGATCTGCTTTCTTTCTTGAATATCAATTTAGGAAAATAGGCTTAGACATTTATGAAAGAACATTTAAGACATTCAGTAATAAGTAAAAGAATTCTGGGGTGAGACAAAATTATTTTGCTTAGGTGTATTGGAAATTGTGATTATTATTTTGTTTGAGTTTGTTAAAATAAGTTAAACTAAAGAAATTGATATTTTTAAAGTAGATATTCTCATATAATGGATAAAAATGGGTAATTTCTAGCCTAGTGTGGTGGTACATGCCTATAATCTTAGCTGGGTGGGAAGCTGAGGCAGGAGGATTTGGAGTTTAAGGCCAGCCTGGCCAACTCATGGAGGATGTAGCTCAGAGTAGAGTCCCTTTTATGTACAAAGTCCAGGTTTTTATCCTCAGTGCCATACACAAAAAAGGGTAATTACTAAGTCATAATTGGTTATATTTGATGAAATATTTTTTGTAATTCTCTGCACTGTGGTCTGATAATATGCATGGGATAATTTTTGTTTTCTTGCATATACTTAAGCATGACCTATTTTTTGTAATTCTCACAGGATTATCATTGATGGTACTCATGGAAGTCTTTATTACTCAAAAAGTTTCTTTTTGTTCCCATGACTTCTTTTGTTTATTTTTATTTTGGAGTACTGGGGATTTAATCCAGGGATTTGAGCATGCTAGGAAAGTGCTTTAACACTCAGTTCCATCTCAGTTCTTATAAATACTTTACCTCCTCCTCCTCCCAGTAGTCACACAATAGTTCATTCCCTGATAAAGGCTTTAAAGGAATAAGGTCTTTAAAAGATCACCTTGGTTTTAGTGCTATTTCTTTTGTCTTTTTCAGACAGGGTCTCCTTATGTAGTGTAGCTGGCTCTGAGCTCAACTTTGTAGCCCAGGCTGGTCTTGAACTCACAGTGATTCTCCTGCCTCAGGCTCCCAAATGCTGGGATCACAGGCACCTACCACCATGCCTTGCTGTTAGTGCTTTTTAAAAAAATTGTTTAAACTTTATTTATTTATTAATTTATTTATTTGATACAGGGTCATGCTACTGTAGCTTGTAGTGATCCTCCTATCTCAGCCTCCCCTTTGCTGGGATTACAGATGTGCACTACCACACCCAGTTTTGGAGCCAGCACTGCATGCCCGGGGTTCCTGGGCTGGCATGGCATATGGTACCAGGGATCGAACTGGGGTCCTTGACTTGCGAGGCAGGCACTTTAGACCACCAAGCTATCTCCCCAACCCCACTGTTAGTGCTTTTTAAAGCAGGTCTCTGTATATAATTGGTGGGAATGAGGGGAAGCAGCAGATATTTAAAGGTGATATCCCTGATCTTATCTGTCCTTAATCCCAGACCTAGTTGTGTGTGTATAGAATTTGAGTCTGTTAATGTAAATCACAGCACAGTTTCCTAACTGCAAGCTAGGTGAGGAAGTAGAACTCTTATTTTTGTGTGTGTGTGTATGTGTGTGTGTGTGTGTGTGTGTGTGTGTGTGTGACGCTACTTAGACACTACCACTGAGCTATATCCTCAACCTTTAAAAATTTATTATTTTTTTAAAATTTTGACACAAGATTTCATATTTGCTCACGCTAGCTTTGAACTTGTTATCCTCATGCCTCAGCCTTTTGAGCAGCTAGACATGTACCATTGTGCCTGACCAAAACACCCTTTTTGAAGAACATTCTCATGTGGCTCCAATATCTTTAGTGTAGTACTTTTTTTTTTCTTTTTTTGGTGGCCTGCCTGTCGCTCAGGCTGAGGGGGAGCCAGCACCCTTCTTCCAAAACCTGGGGTCGGGCCACAGGGACTCAGCTGAATGCCCAAGTGTGCATGGTACTCGGAAGGCTTCGAGGGCCTGCTTGGTCCGGAAGAACCTGACTCACATGGTCCAGTTTGCGTACAGCAGGGCCAGGAGGAGGAAGATGGCCACCGAGAGCAGCATGTTCTTCCGATTCTGCTGCCGAAGCAACTTCAGCTCCTTCTCATACTTGGAAGCTCTGTTCATTAGGCTGTTTCTCTCCTCCTCCAGAGACTTCCCGTCCTCGGGGCTCAGCTCTGACCTGTGGAGCCGGCAGCTCATGGCCTCCAGGTCCCGTTGGCACTGGGACAGCTTCTCCTCCAGCCCATCAATCTCTAGAGCGATGTCCAGATTCTCCCGCTTCTTTTTAGTTATGTTGCTTGCCGGGATCCCCTAGTGTACTTTTTTGAAGGAACCCACTCTACCCTTCTCTCTCACCCAACTCTTAGCACCAATCTACATAGAATTGTTCTTTTAAGAAAATAGTGTTTTGGGCTGGTGAGATGGCTCAGTGGTCTAAAGCACCTACTTAGAACAAGCTTAGCAAAGCACAGGGACCATGGTTCAATCCCCCAGCACCACATGCCAGCCAGCCCCGCCCCCTGGTGGGCTGAGCTGGCCACACACACACACACACACACACACACACACACACAAATAAATAAATAAATAAATAAAATTTAAAAAAAAAAAAGAAAATAGTGTTTTGTAGCCATATTTTCCTATATTAATATATGTGCTTATTAGTGTTATTATAAATAGGATTTTTTCCCAGATACTTATGTCACACAGATAACCAACTTTAAATGAGTCTTATTAAACAAAAGACCTAATGAACTCACTGTGTATCCTAGGCTGACCTTGAACTTGCAGCAGTCCTCCGTCTCATTCTCTGGAGTGATGGGATTATAGTCCTGTGCCACCACACCAGAGCTTGAAAAAGTAAAATTTATCAACTGTGTTTCCTAATCCATGAGGGTTCTGCCAATATGTTAATTCTCTTCCAGAAAAGAAGTAGCCCAATTTTGTATTCTTTAAAAAATAAAAAAAATTTTAAAAATAAATTAAAAGTAAAAAGAAGTAGTTCAGTTTGGAGTACAGTGCTAGCCAGTAAGAGTGATACACAAAAGGGACTCTTTTCTGTGATACTGAAGTTATCTCTTTCCTGGTCTTTTTCTGTCATTCAGTTATGATAGACCGAGAACTTTTGAAGGATTAAAGCAGTTTAGTTGTATACAGCTTATGTCTTCTTGACAATTGTGTTCAGATTCCCATGGCCTTGTCTGGTTATCTTTCCCTTTTAAGTGTTGGGCTACTTAAATATTCTTCACTGGGGATGGGGCTTAGTGGTAGAATTTGTTCTTAATATATATGAGGCCATGGTTTTGATCCCCAGCATGCCCCCACCAAACTGTAATAGTGTTTTTTTTTTTTTTTTTTTTGTGTTTAGTACAGGGTCTCATTACGTAGATCAGACTCATAGTGATTCTCTTGTTTTCAGCCTCCCTAGTGCTCGGATTACAGACGTGCACTACCATGCCCAGTGTAAAAGTGTTCTTTTAAAAAAACAACAAAATAGAGTAACTTTTATGTTAAAAACTAATTAGAGAACTCCAAATAAAGGAGGTTCCTTTGTATTATCTAGTATCTGATATGTGCCTGGTAATGCTGTGTAAATGTTGAGACTAAATCATTAATAAGGAAGCCTAGATTAATTTACTTGGATGACCTTAACATTCCTTTGAGCAAGATAGTAAGTGTAATAAAAAGTTATATAGTATGATTGGAAGGTAGTATTAATGAAGAAAAGTTAGGTGGTAAGCTATAAGTACTGTAGTAATGATAGGGCAGTAATGTTAAGTAGGGTGGACAGGGTAAGCCTCACTGAAAAGGTAACGTATGAACAAAGACTTAAAGGAAGTGAGACTGAGTCAGTTGAAGAGCTGAGGAAAGAGCAGTCCAGATAGAACAGCTAGTATAGAACTTTTGTGGCCAGTTGGAACTGTCATCATTGGGAATAGAGGTCTCCATGTCTTGCTAAAGTGACTTAGAATATGACTTCAGGAGATGAGGGCAGAGATTGTGGGCCCTGGGGAGGCCTTTTAGGCTGTTGTGAGTACTTTGACACTTAGTATAAGTACAACTGAAAACAAATTCCAGTAAGGTCAAGTAGACTGAAGTTGGATTTCCTCAGATAGCTAGGGTCAGGAGAAGGTAAGAGGTTGGAATAGGAACTTTTTGTAACTTCTAGTCTTAGGATAGCATAAATTGATGTGTATCCATAGGCGTAAGAATATAGCAAAGCAAATAATAAAGTTCTCTGCTGATATTTTTTACTTTATTTTTGATTATAGGGACTTTCAGTTACCTTGATGATGTCCCATTTAAGATAGGAGACAAATTCAAAACACCAGCTAAAGTTGGTCTACCTATTGGCTTCTCCTTGCCTGATTGTTTGCAGGTTGTCAGAGAAGTACAGGTAAGTGATGATTTTTAGTTAAAAGTTTAGTGTATTTAAAAATTAAAGAATAAAAATGTGATGTACAGTGAAACAGAAAAAGCTCTTTTGCATCTTTTTGTATTTCTCATAGCTCTTGTTACTATGTGGGTCACACTATATACATATATACATATATACATACATACACACATGGTCATTTATATGTGCGTTTTATACACTCAAGACATTTTGTTTGCTCTGTTAGATTGTGTATTTCTGGGCCTCTCTGCCTTACACAGAATGGTCCCCATTACCCATCTAATTTGCTGGTTCATCTCTCTCCTTTTCCTTTATTCATGTTCTTAGTATCTTCCCTGTCCCTAAAGTCAGATAATGTATGTTTTTTTTTTTTTTTTTTTTCCTATGTCTCACATTCTATTTCAGCCCTATCTTATTTTTCACCTTGCAGTAGTGTCTTTAATTGACTCCTCTGCCGGCAGCATTTTCCTTCTATTTCCACGTTGTTTCTAGAATGATATTCTTAAAATTATAAATTGTCACATCCCTACTGCAGATTGTACAGACATGCTCAGTGATTCATCAGCCTTTACTGTATTAAGTATGGGCATGAGGTTATGGCAGAGCACCTTAGCTCTTCCTTCCTGTTTCCTCCAAACCAGGTTACCAGTAGTTTGTTGAATTTATCCTGCTTTTCCCCACAAACTACTATCTCTACCTAGAATATTTTGTTTCTCATTATACTAACAGCTGTCTTTTAAAATCTACTTATTCTTTTAGACTGTGTTTAAATGTTATTTCCTCAAGTGCTTTTTTCTCAAAGCTCATCTTTAAAAGTCACTTTATGTAAATGCACTGAATTTCTTCTTGAAAGCAGCAAATAGCTGTGTGTTTCTTCTTTCTTCAGTACACATTTGTTGAATACCTGCTTTTGAGAGATGGTCTGCTGGGTACTGAGAGTAAAAGATAAATGCTTTAATCATTGTCTTAAAGTTGCTTATAGTTTAGGCTGCCATAGAAAACCAGAAAAGTACAGTATAGTACTCGGATATGTCTTCCTGTGACTTAAGAACTTGATTGTTTAAAAATACAACTTTCTGGAAGAGAAGTCTTGTTTCTGGGGGATTCACTAAAGCATTTCTATGTTTCTTTAATAAGTATTCTATCTTCCATAGTCTGTATACTGTGAATAATTAAAGTATAGAAGTTGTCTTTTTTTCCCTGTTTGTTTTGTTTTGAAGCATTGTGTGTGTTAGTCAAGTGCTCTAGCACTGAGCAGTCTACCCTAGCCTGCAGTTTCTGTTTATTAAGGAAAAGTATGTATTTTATTTATGTATAAGTTTTTAACAGTAGCAAAGTTTCATTAAAGGTAGGAAAATAAACAGGCTCTATAGAGCCTGGGTCAAGTAAAAGTAGGAAGAGAAGTACACCCTGTATCATGAGGGCAGCCACTATGTAAGAGAAGCACAGTTGCCTAAAAATGGTCTTATTGATTTATAATTTCACATACCATGAAATTTATCCTCCTAAGTATACAGTTTATTTTTTTTTTAAAGTATATTTAAAGTTGTATAAACTCATCACTGTTTAATTCCAGATCATTTTCATTTCCCTAAAAAGAAACCCAGTCATTTCTGTAACAGTCGTTACCTCAATCCCTGGCAACCAATAGTCTACTTTCTATCTACTTGATATGCCATATGAATGAATTCAACACTGTGTATTTATAAAAAGAAACCCAGTCATTTCTGTAACAGTCGTTACCTCAATCCCTGGCAACCAA